GACTTTTGTCACTGCTCCCACTCAGAGAATGTCCCCACACGCAGCCCCACTCGCTGTTGGCAGAGGCTGCATCTCGCTGTTGGCAGAGGCTGCGTGCAGCAGGGATCCTCGCCGACTGGTGGTGGGCAGGGGCCCTGAGAGGCTGCCTTGTCTAGGCCCTGCCTCCAGAAAGAACTATGTCCCTAACGCCTTCCTGGAACCTGGTCTTGCCTGACTTTTCAGATTTCTAAGGTGTGAGTCAAGAAGAAATCTCAGGTCACCTCCGTTATGGCACCTATATCTCTAAGCTGAAATTCAGCACTTACTGTGTAACAATGAAAAAGGTTTGGTTGAGAATTTATCAAGTTTAATTTGCTCCCACTTAAGACTTATTCAAGACTTATAGAGAATATTTGAGAAATATTAAGAAAAGCTGAAAGAAAAAATCACCACAGTCCCACTACCCAAAGGAAAATCATTTTTCTAATACTTGTTATATTTACTTTCATTCGTTTCTATATACTTGTTTTGTTGTGTGTGTGTTTTTTTTTGGGGGGGGGGGCTTTTTGTTTTTATATAACTGTGATCACACTGTTTGTGATTTTGCATCTTAAGAAAACTTATTATAAACATTTTCTCCATTCCTTTAACTCATCCACATCATTTCAAGTGACTGTACCAGCTTCCATCCATTAGCTATGCCACTCCTCCACGGTGGGACAGAGAAAGGGTGATCTGGATTTGTGACTGCCCAGAAAATCCAGGACAGGTGGCCACTATGCCATTTCTGCACCTTACCTCTGGAGCGCTAACTTTAATCATCTTCTTGCATGCCAACACCTTCTCCTCCCCACACTGGCTTCTGAAATGCTGGCTGGTCGAGGAGCTCCCAGGCCAATCGTATAGGAAAAAAGATGACTGCCCTGCAGTGTCGGGTGAGTGAGGACAGAGGGTACAACCACCACCTAGGGAGCCAGCTGTGAACATATTTCAGCTGGAGGAGAAGTGGTTGCGGGCCCAACACTGAACATCAGTGAGGGACGGGGCGGGAAGGGGGTGTCACATGAAGACAACTCCATTCTTCATGCCTACAGAGACCTCCGCTAAGCCACACCCAGAGAAAGCTGGCTTGTTAGGAAGTATGACTGAGGTCCACACTAAATCTTCCTGCAGGGAGGGGACCATGGTTGTCTCCACAAATAAAGAGTGTGTCTTCATCAGGGCTCCCCATGGGCAGGGACAGCTCCCAGCTGAAGAACAGACTGGCCCCTGACCTGGCTCGCTGATACAATGAGGTGCGCACAGCTAACCCCTCAGCCAAGTACCAAGATCTGCCTTCAGAAGATGTTCCTCTGAATCTCCTCAAGGTGGGTTATGATCTCGTGGGCTCTCCAGGGATGACTATGACTTCTGGAAAGAACTGGAAGTTATCCAGAATTACAACACACACAAAAAGAAACAAAACACTGATGGATGGCCATGCTTGGGACACCACTTGGTATCCGAAAATGAGAACATGAAAAAGAATCTCAAAAACCATTTTCTCACTTGGCTGAAAGCTGGTTCTGTTGGAAACTTCTAGAGGCTGTTTACCATATCGTTTTAAGCAACGGGAACAACAGTGGCGCCCGTGTGAAGCCTCCGCAAGAGACAACACTGAAGGGATCATCACTCAAGTGGATGTATGCCTTCTGGTACATTTGCTTCAGTCAGTTACATCTTAGGGGGTGTCCCCACTTTATTTTTAACTTTTTGTTAATCCTTACCCGGGGATATTTTTTCCATTGATTTTTTTTTTTGAGAGATTAAAAAGGAGGGGGAGACATACACAGAGAGAAACATTAATATGAGAAAGACACATCAATTGGTTGCCTCCGACATGAGCTCTGACAGGGGCCAGGGATCAAGCCTGCAACCAAGGTATGTGCCCTTGACTGGAATCGAACCTGCAACCTTTCAGTCTGCAGGCCAATGCTCAGCCAGGGCAGGATACCCCACTTTAAAGCCTGGCGGGAAGACACGATTTGACCTCAACTCCTCAGACCAAAGTATACTCCCGGCAAGGTTCACCCAAGAACCCTCCTCCTCCCACAGAGAAGTGCATGTGCCCTGAGCTGCGCAGCTGGGAAGATGGCTCGGTTCCCAACAGCCTGCCCTGAGGCACAGGAGTCACACAGACCTCTGGAGAGGAGACGAAACCCTGCACATGCTATGGGGAGGCAGACTCTCGTGTCATTAAATCAAACCTATTAACTTAAAAGCCTGCTGGCCAGGTTTCTGTGCTATCTGGATTCCCAGAGTACAGTGGGATGATTCGAACAAAGACTTTCCTGCACGAATGCTGGTTATTTTGCTGGAAGGCTCTGGGCTGAAGCTCAAAACAGTGAGCTGGAGTTGTAACTCAATTGCCTCCCCTCTGAAAGGAACAAACGAAGTTAGGAGCAGACAAAACTCAGTCTGGAGAAGCTCAATAGGAAAATGACTTCATTCTACTCTGCACTGCCTCAAGGATGCGTCAGGTGAGCCTGGGCGGGGAGTTACTCTCTCGTCCTTCCGTTTCTGTCGGTAAAAGGAGCTGCTGCTGCTTCCTACCTGTGAATGCACACAACCCTGACAGAGAGGGCGGCGAGAAAGGGAGGTTCTACTTCAGAAGCCATTTCTTTCTGTTGGGTCTGAACTTAGGTGAGTTTGGTTGATGGGACCCTCAGCTGCCTCTCAGTCGACATTGAGAAGAGGAGCAACTGAAGTGGAATCACAGCAAGACCCTTCCCTACCTACTGCCATCACAACAGGTAGGTCACCAACCTCAGGGACAGGTACACAAGGTCAAGCAGGCAGAGGGGCTGGGCTATACTTGTCCAGCACCTACTATGTGTCAGGCACGTTGCCCGCATTACCTCCCTTAACCCGCAAAGCCAGTTTTACCATCTCCATTTCATAGAGGAGGAAATGGAGGCTCAGGGAGATTCATGACTTGCCCAAAACGGAAGTTGGACTCCACAAACCTTGGGCCAGAGACACTAGCCCACAGCCAAGTCCCCAAGTCTGACAGAGGCAGGCTTTGCTCTTCTCAGCCCCAAGACTACCCCCCAAACCCAGAGGATCCTGGGGTGCTGGAAAGACCAGGAGCCCAGAAAAACTGGGTCTCAACGAAGCTCTGCAGCTGACGGACTCCTCCACAAGTCACATCGCGCCTCTGGGCCTCAGTTTCCGTTAGTGTAGAATGGGGTGAAAACCACTCTTCTCTCACAAGGCCGTTGTATGGATTGAAACAATGCTCAGAAAACCATGAAGAATGGCTCTAAATGAAAAGCAACTTGTGACTGTCACCAATGGGTCCCCCAGAATTTAAATCTTATTTTTTATTTCCAAGGCACTTCTCTCTAGAAAGCTCAAGATGCCAAACAATTAACTTCTGAGCAACAATCATTTCCTACAAATACCCCAATAAACACTTTATCTGGGGCTTCTTTAAAATGTAGTAACCTTGTGGCTGGGGGACTGGACTCCCATCCTTTCCCCGAGGGAATAATAATGCCAAGAGTCTTCAAGGTGAGGATAGGAGGTTA